CCCCACCTACCCCCCACATAAAGTGAGCTGAATATGAGCTAAAGGTCACAGGTCACAGGAAAACTGGCAACCCTTTCCACCCAAAAACAGCAATAATTATACTAGAATAGATTAGCTTGCTCCAATTAACAGACACAATGACACAAACTAACGGTTACAGAATAAACACATGGGAGAAATTGTAGCAGGAAATGGGTGGGGACAACATTGGTATATGTAGGGCAAAGAAGATAAGGGGTGAGAGGAGGGGTGGGGGTGGGGGGAGGGTGGGGTCAAATGGAGGAAGGGGCTAGTAGCAATATATCTGATGTCTCAATGTAAATGTGAGCGGTGAATGAAATTGCAACAAACATTGATGACGTGTCACACGCTCAACTGAAATAGTTAATCAAGTATTGAAGGGAGATAATGTGAAACAACTCCACGTACAGTTTTTACCGGGTTATCTCTCTTTCCCCACTTGACAACATTATGTCAGGATCATAACACAATAATTTATTACTTCTTGTCCCAGACTATCACCTGTACAGACAACCTTTTCCCTTTTCTCCCTGCATTCTTTAACTACTAGATTCTACAATGACACTGTCCCATAAAGCCCACCTGTCTAACACAACCAGTTGGACCTCGACCATTGGGTGGTCGTCTGGGACAGTTCCGACCGTAGAAGGTACATGTATAACTTGTACAAGGATTGTACACGTACGTATGATTGTTGCTTGGGCCTCATCCTCACTATAGCAGGGTTTTCACGCATACATACAGAATATATAATAGATCTACTAATAGTCCAATTATTGAGACATGTTCACTTTTTCTCCGATCCTAGCACTGACTTAGGTACACACAAGTTGTGAAGTTTTATTTATACAACAAAAATGACATGGGAAATTGTGGTATGGCAGGGATTGTGGTATGGCAGGGGTGATTGTGGTATGGCAGGGGTGATTGCGTCATCGCAAACTTGAGTTGAACAAACCTGATTTACATGGATTGGAAAACGCACCTGGACATATATATTATACTGAGCAAAATGTGGACAAACAACAGCCACACATTGATCCAAAACTGGAGAACAATACATTGTGGTTGTGAGACATTGCAGACATGGCATAGGAGGAAGGGGGCACTGGGGTTCTGTTGTGTGTGTGTGTGTGTGTGTGTGTGTGTGTATGTGTGTGACATAGTGAGAGAGACACTTGAGAGAGAGAGAGAGAGAGAGAGAGAGAGAGAGAGAGAGAGAGAGAGAGAGAGAGAGAGAGAGAGAGAGAGAGACATAGTTTATTCACATTAAGAACCTTGTACCATCACAACTGGTAAACATCTTGTGTAAATAAACAAATCAAAACAACAACTGACCATAAACGAATCCACTCAGAGTTGCAGAATAAATTAATAAATTAATAATTAATGAAGAAAGGGGAGGAAGGGTTTGACAGTGGTAGAGAAAGACAAGACAGTGACACATCCAGCACACTATGACAAGACAGTAACACATCCAGCACACTATCTGCCCTGTTGACACAGTGTGTAACACATCCAGCACACTATCTGCCCTGTTGACACAGTGTGTAACACATCCAGCACACTATGACAAGACAGTAACACATCCAGCACACTATCTGCCCTGTTGACACAGTGTGTAACA